ATCAAACGCTGATGGATTATCGAGAGCAGTATGTGGGTGTTATAACAGAAGACAAAGTAGAAAACGGTGTTGATTGGGTTGCAGAACAAAGACCTATCCTTAATTAAAGACGTCATCAAACATTCAGTAGTACCAGATTTGGGTCAATTTGTTGATAAAGAAAAAGATGTTAAAATATTACTTGCACAGTATGACTTAAGAGTAAAGGATAAACAATTTTCAGAAGGACAAATGGTTTATTATTATAATCCAAAGCACGTTAAAAATAAGTATCCTAAGGGGACAAAGTTATATGACGGCCCTTACATGATTTCAAGAAAAATAAGTGATGTAAATTTTGAGATTAAGAAGTGTAATGGTTATAAAACCATTGTCGTACACATAAATAAATTGAAGCATGTATGAAAACAATGTTTTTTTTTTTTGTTTCCTGTGTTTTGTTTAATTTTAATTTTGTTTGTTGTTATGCATGTGCCATTATATAGAGACTTATTTGAACTGTACAATTTTCAGACAAATGTCATTGTTTTGTTATTTTATGCATATGCCATTATATAGAGAACTATCATTTGAACTGTACAATTTGCTCGCCATACCTTATTTCAACCAGAAAGAGGGGGTGGTGGAAAGTGTCAGAATTATGAAATAATACTGACTAAAAATACTGCAAAATTTTCAACGCGAAATTTATTCACTCGATAGGGGGTATGGTGCAAGTTAATTTACTCGATAGGTGACGACGATTTTTTTTTTGTTTTGCAATTTAGATGACGTCATAAATTATTACAAATTATTTTAAAATTTAATTAGTAGTTTTTTTTATTAATTAGACATACCTTGGAAATTTTTATGTTTTTAAAACACCCGAAACAAAATCTAATTTTGCTTTGATAAGGAAGGGTGTGAAAATAGGGGAGTTGACTAGTGAGGCAGCTTCGAATAATCAGTGCCTATTCTGGTATCTAAGAGACTTAACGCGTGATTCTATGCTCATTGGCATAGTTTTAGAAACGTCTTAAGTTCTCAAAAGTGGATTTGGTACGAGACTCTATGCTCATTGGCATAGTTTCGCACGCGTACTAGAGTCACACAATTTGTTTCCAGTGTTGTTCTGACTCTTGTTGTTTTGTGTTGGTCGTGCGAAAGCCGATCAGACTCGACGGCCCAGTGAAAACAGGCCAGGGTTGTGCGAAAGCCGACCGACTGACTGACAGGCCCAGTGAAAACAGGCCCTTGGTCTTGCGAAAGCCGATCAGACTCGACGGCCCAGTGAAAACAGGCCAGGGTTGTGCGAAAGCCGACCGACTGACTGACAGGCCCAGTGAAAACAGGCCCTTGGTCTTGCGAAAGCCGATCAGACTCGACGGCCCAGTGAAAACAGGCCAGGGTTGTGCGAAAGCCGACCGACTGACAGACAGGCCCAGTGAAAACAGGCCTTGGGTTCTGTGAAAACGAATCCGCCTCGTTGTTTTGTTTCTTGTGCTATTTGTGGACTTAGGGTTCTTTGCTGGATTCTATACTCATTGGTATAGTTTCACACGCAGCTTGGAATTTCCATAGGCTCCGATTTTTGTGATTCATTTTTTTATTTATTTCTTGGAGTTGTATCGACATCACCATCGGATACACACGTCGAGGTTTTACGATTAAACGGCAAGAAACATATCCCAAGTTGAAGACCCAACAAGAAGGGTTCTAAGTCCTGTATTCCAGTTTGTTCATTGACATTTACATTATTATAGAGTTCATTAGTTCAATTCCTTTTATTTACTTCCGTCGATTAATAAAATTGTTATCGAATATTTTTACGCGTTCGTGTGTTACTCAGTAAAATCATATAATTCGAAAAAGCCCAGTGCCACACAGGACTGGTCGAACTCACGATAAAAATATACACAAAAATTATTGTCGGACCATACAAAAATTCCCTGAGAAAGATAGAGGAGGAGATTACCTCACACCACCAGTTGTTTCAATTGTTTTCATTTATAAATTTTCCGACAATTGGCGCCCAACTTGGGGCTTTGTCATCCTTTGAAAACCTCCTCCTTATCATTTTATTAAATTTAAAAATCTCCTCATTCATGTTTTTTATTATATAAAATTTCCGACAATTGGCGCCCAACGTGGGGCTTTGTCATCCTTTGAAAACCTCCTCCTTATCATTTTATTAAATTTAAAAATCTCCTCATTCATGTTTTTTATTATATAAAATTTCCGACAATATATATATATAACTTTTAGATTTCTCTAACAGTTGATTGTAAATCATTTTCAAGTTTCTTTAGTTCAAAACCAAAATTTTTGTTTGTTTAATGCATGATAGAACAGAAAATTTTTTTTCGGTTTTCCTATACCATCTTCGGTGTTCAAATTGATATGTTGTGGTTGCGTCCAGATAATCCATCGTTTCAATATCCCCTAGATATTGAAACGATGGATTATCTGGACGCAACCACAACATATCAATTTGAACACCGAAGATGGTATAGGAAAACCGAAAAAAAATTTTCTGTTCTATCATGCATTAAACAAACTGCAATTTTGGTTTTGAACTAGAGAAACTTGAAGATGATTTACAATCAACTGGA